TTTAGGCGATTTCCGAGGATTTTTGTAGCATCTCCCCGCAGCGCCCAAAACCGAGTCCAAAAACGAGCATTTTTAGGGGCTGCCTAATACTGGACAACACCCAGCATTGCCAGCATCATCCCGGATGATGCGGGTGATGCTGGGGATGTTGTCCCCTAAGTCGGGCCAATTTTGCCGAAAACGTGCAACCTGAAAATCTTAAAATCTAAAGTGGATGGAAAATGGATGGAACATGGCCTGGATTGAAATCTCAAATTCCTAGAACTTAGAATCTTAAAATCTGAAAATATAAAAAAAAAAAAATCCTAAAGTCTTCGAATCTTGAAACCTTAAAAACCTTATGTCTTAGAATCTTGAGATCTTAAAATATGAAATTCCTAAAGTCTTACAATCTTAAAATCTCAGAATCTTAAAAAGCTTTAAACACTTAAATTCTTTAAACCTCGAACAATTGAAATCTGAAATTCTTAAATTATTAAAATATTACCTTCCTTCAATCCGGGCTATATTTTAACTTCCTTAAACTCTTAATCTTGAATTTTTGAAATCTTGAAACCTTAAGATCTTAAAATTACAACCTTAGAAGATAGAATCTTGCAACCTGAACAATATAAACATCCTCAAGTCTTCGAATCTTGACTTCTTAAAACCCTCATGTCGTTGAATCTTCAGATGTTAAAATCTTAAAATATGAAATTCCGAAATTCTCAAACTCTTAAAATCTCAGAATCTTAAAAGCTTCAAAAACTTAAATTCTTTAAATCTCGAACTATTGCAATCTGAAAATCTTAAATTCATAAACAAGTAAAATATAATAAAATTCCTTCAATCCGGGCTATATTCTAAATTCCTTAAACTCTTAATCTTGAAATTTTGAAGTCTTGACATCTTAAGATCTTAAAATCTTAAATTCCGAAAGTCGCCAAATCTGAAAATCTCGCCAAAAATAAAATCTTAAAGCCTTCGAAATCTGATAATGGATGGAAAATGGCTGGGCAATGGCCTGGCTGTTATAACCTTCAAACACCTTAAGTCTTTGAATCTTAAAACCTTAATTCTTAAACCATTGAAGCCTTAAATTCCAAAAGTCTTCAAATCTGAGACCCTTAGAATCTCAAAGTGTTTAGAATTGTTTAATCTTAACATCTACTCATCGGACTTACCGGAAAGGGAAGTGACAGAACGGGCAGGGCAAGGTGCCCGGTGGCCGGCTGTGTCGCGTCAGCGTGTAAATAATTGCTCAGAACCCAACTCACCCAGTGCAAAAGCTTCAACTTCTTTGTTGGTTAGTGGGAAATGCAGCAGGGTGAAAACAAATGGCACGATTCCCATTCTGTGGAAGTAAGGGGACGACTAAACCAAAATGAGGGAATTGCGCCTTCTACCTTCACCCGACTACAAAGGTAATTCTCCAAGCACGGCCAAGGAAACTCACGGAAACACATGGTGTGGGACCTAACAGGGGCCTACCAGGCGATGATTCTTTGAATCGTCAAAAATAAAAGGGGGACATAAGTTGGGCGACCAACTGAATGGGTTCCATCTTCAGGTTCCTTTCGGATGCCACACACGGGTGGTTCTCAAACTCGGGGACCCATTTTACGACCGTTTTCCTTTTGGCTCCCTGTTCGAAGCTTCCAAAAGGGGTCCGCCATTTGGCCATGGGTCAAAACCCAAATCGTACCCCCAGTGAACATCACAATCCCCACTGAAATAGACTAAAGTGGGTGGTGCACCTACCCCAAAATGGTACTATTGGTTTTGACTCACAGCCATTTTAAGAAACCCATGATGGTCCTTGGCTGGGAGCGACGTCTTCAATTGGACTGCGAGCGGCCCGGTGTGCAGCATGTGCTCCACCAGCCGGGGGTGGAGCGTCACCAGGGATTCGTAGCCCGTGATGGTCAGCTCCTCCGAGACCTAAGACTCAGACCCTGATATGGCCATGGGTCAAAACCACGCCCAGTGAACATCCCAATCCCCACTGAAATAGACTAAAATGGGTGGTGCACCTATCCCAAAATGGCACCATTGGTTTTGACCCATGGCCACATAACTGGGTTGCTGATCCCTCTGCACAAAGATTGACTTTTGTGTGTCCAATTTTCCACCAAACAGTGAAAAAGCAAAGTCCGAAGATCCGTTGCCAGAAAGATCAGGGGGACCACTGTGACACTCACGTTAAAGGCTTGCTCCAAGGAACTTGAGTTACTTGCCACCAACGGATATATAAAATGCTTAAGTGACCATTGACTGCTTGGCGGCCATTCGTGGGCTGTAGTTCCGCGCACCCTACAACCAGCCCGAACGGTGGAAGAAGATCCTGTTAAGATCAGGGAAAAGTTCAGTGGAAAAACCTACAGAAGAGGGATTTGGGCTGTGTGTGTCAAAATAGGGGAACCTGCAAAAAAGTTGGCTTTCCTTTGGGTGTCCCAACAAAACGGGTTGCAACCAGTGAGCCAGGTGTGTACATAGAGGAGCCGTTTGCGAGGGTCTCTGGGAATCAAACTGCCAATGGCTGACTACACCCGTCAACCAAGAAACAAAGGTTCATGCGCAGTGGAATATACTAGGTCTCTTAAAACAAGGGAAACTATGTAGGGTTTGGGAGGGTCCTTTTGCTTTCCCTTGAACACAACTACTCTCAAGACAAATGCGCTCATGTGGCTACGATATTTTGATGATAATGCCCTCAAAAGTGGTTGGTTGACATAACCTGCAAGTGTGACATATCATACCCGTTTGGATTTCTCGGGTTCCGGCACACCCCAGTCCGTAAACCATGTGAGTGGATCGGAGGGAACCCTTCAAAAAAGGACTCATTTCAAACTGACGTCCTTGACAAGATTGGCTCAAACTGCTTCTTTGCCACTAATCTGGTCTTCCCCGCAAGTTCCGAGTCCAGGAATTTGGGGTGCGGGAAGTATGCCAGGGAATAAGCACAAGTGGTTTAAACGAGCGGATGGCCAACTCCTGTGGCCCCTTTCAGGGGTTTAACAATGGCTTGAACCTGTTCAAAGCAACCCCAACGCCTCAAAGGATCAGCCTAAGGTCGGCTCTTCTCAGTTTCTCAGAATGCCACAAGTCCGTGTTGCTTCCTTTGGTTCCCCTACCACCAACCAAAATGGGGCCCGCGCTTTGGAGAGACCTCCAAAGGGAACTCCCCTCTTGAATAGCTGGGCTGTCCTCAGATCCCCTGCCAAAGCTGTTAACTTTTCGTGAGTTAAATGGACACCCACCCAAACCACCTGCACCACATGAAAAACCAACTAAAAACCCTTTTCACCTGAGGCTGGCTGGCCTTTTCCAAGAAAAGAGCGGAAAGGACGCAAAGCTCTAGAAGTATAGAAGTACCTTCCCCATTCTTTCCAGGGATCCTCCTCTTCAGGAAACCATCAAAAACCCAGGTTGGAAACAGCCGTTGTTTTTTTCTTTTTTTTTTTTTAAAGAACGATGGTTGAAACCTGCCTGCGGTGAGACTTCCGGCTTGGCCTCCGGGCGCTGAGCGTGGCATGGGCCACGCCCCCGCTGCAGATGAACAAATCCCCCGGCCGCAGCAGCGCGATCCGGGCGGCGCACCTCGCGCTCGAGGGCGGACATGACGAGTATGAACGGGTCTTCAAACAGGGGATCCCCAAAAAATGTCGCTTTTATTGTGTCCTTTAAGGTTCTTCCTTCAAAATGACCAACCAAAAGGTGGCCTCAACAAAAAGACAGGGTTGTCTTGAATGGGGCCCATTCAAAGGGCGGGCCCATTGAAATGGGGGCCTAAAATCTCATTAGACTTATTAACCACCGAAGCTTCCTCATGAGAAAAGCGTCTGACTATCTATCTAGCCCAATGATTACACTTAACAATGAAAATACGACGAGTGAAGTACCTCACAGCCCAATTCTACTTAGTTAGGCCCTGCGCATAGAGTCTATGGCATGGCATTGAAATTCAGATAGAGCACCAACAGCACAAGTATTCCCCAGACGCGAGGCTCGTTGACTCGGGTTAAAACTGAGGCAAGGTGTCAAATGCAGAAAGCACAACAAGAAGCTAGGATCTAGCTATTTAAGTCGTTAGATACACAAACACCAGGCATAAGGCCTCCAAGATCCTCCAAGCCATTGTTGACGTCGACTCCGTTGATGGAAAAATGCAGAGAAGGTTGCTGAAACAAGAGCTGTTTAAATGTGTATCGTTGGCCCAACGCTGTTGGAAACTCAGCTTGAAACGGCCTGAAGCAGCGGTGCTCAAAAGTCCCGATCGTCGCACGTTGGCAAACATGTTGCTTTTTGGCGCGGACGCCTTTTACTTGTACCAATTTTCGACCCTTGTGGTTTGGTCATCATGTTGAGGTGATGAAATGGGGGCAAGGCCTCAAAAACAACTTGTCCTTTTGGCTTCCCTTTTCACCGAAAGCGGTCAAAAGCTGGCCAGTGCCTGCATTTGGCTCGCTTGTTACAACCCATTGAGGGGTTGGGGTCGAAACGGCCCGCCTCAGCGCTGCAAGCTGCTGTTCTTCCAAGGGCGCTCGGAAGTGCGCGTCCCCCATCTCTCGCACCAGCCGTGTGCTCTCGCTACCTGCGGCGGCTTTGTTTTCCTGTTCTATCCACGCAAATGTCGAGTAGGTTTTTAGAGCCAGCGAGCCACTGGTCCCTGTTGACCCTGGATTAATCAACCTGGCGGAACCCCCCGTGGTTGTGATTGGTTGGTTGCCCTTCAAGCCTTTAGTTGTCGCCTGACCAACTCGCCACTTCAGCATAACAAAGAGTCACACCCATGTCAACCTAGCCATGCTCAAAGTGACTTGTTTCCCTAGAGGACATGGAAAAACATGTGTGTTCCCTGACCCCTGCGTTTTTTTGCGGGACATTTATTGAGACCCCATGGCCCTCCAAATTTTGGACCATATGACATTTTAAGCACCATGACCGAACCTCATGTCAGCCGCGGCCCCAAATGGACCATAGACCGGAAGGGACCGAACATGACCGAACATGACCGAACCTCAGCCGCATGTTTCTTCCCAAGTGCCTGCAGGCCAAGTAACCATGAGCTTGTATCCCTGCCACTGCTTGCCCACATTGCTCCATAGCACCTGGCGACAGGTCAGGCTTTGTTGGGTATACGTCTTATGGGGGCACACCTCCTAATGCTCGGTGTCATTTCGGCTGTCCTTTATAACGGCCCTAAGACTCGGACCCTCAAAAATACGTAACCATATACAACCATATTTGCCACTTGAACTTTGTAGCTGAGCTGGAATCCTAGACCCACCCCTTAAAATGGCGGCAGAACAAGATACACCATGCTTGATCCTTCCGAAACGGGATCATCCGGCTCCCTGCGGGAAGTCTGCAGGACTTTCGACTGTCAACTTGTGCGGCCTACGCCTGAAACGAACGCAGGTGCCCATCGGAAAAGGCACCATCGACTCTGCCATCCTTTTCGAGCTTGCGCAAATCACCACTGCAGTGCAAAATAGATGTTGCCCGGCAAAGAGACCTCTCGGACTCAGCTTCTGTGTTCAAGGTTGAACACCTTCTGGCAAAGGTTAAGTGAAAATAGTGACGACAAGCAACATGAACTAAGCATCCTTGAACAATACCCCCTGATCTCTGGGATAGTCCGGACCGACTGAAACCTATGGGTCTCGCAGAAAGTTGCCTCAAAGCTGAGGAACAAATCCGACACCCCCACACACAACCACACGCAGACATCGCCGCGGACAAATTTGGCGCCTGGTCAACATGCAGGCCCTTTCCACTGCCACGGCCCCCCACAAAGACCCCGTCGTCGTAGCCTGGGCTCGACTTGACGCAAACTTGGGAGCCCTTCCAGTTCGGCAGCAACGGCACCTTTTGGGAAAACAAACCTCTGCTTCGCCAACGGACGCGAAACGCGTCCGTATTTCCATAAGCCGGCCGGGTGGTAGCCGGGTATCCGAGCGGCAGTTCCAGTACATGGTCCACTTGGAGAGCTGCGCCAGCCAGTCTCGCGCATGGCGCAAGCAAAGGCTCTTCGTGCCCTCCTCACAGCCGTAGTCCAGCGCGAACTCGTTGGCCTCTCGCCTCAGATTCCCAGCCACCGCCACACGGCCACACGTACATGTATATACACGTACAAAGCAACAAAAAAGACAGCCGAACAAACGAACAAACAAACCAACAAACAAACAATCAAACAAACAAACAAACAAACAATCAAACTAACAAACAAACAAACAAACAAAGAGGCAACAAACATCGCCACATCCCAACTCTGTCACATGTTCCGGATATGTTCCAAGAAACTCCCGCAGCCGCCGCATCTCGCAGGCATAGAGATGCGACCTTACCAACTTGCCAACTGGACAAACTGCCAAAGGTGACCCGACAGGAGGATCATTGCGAAATACACCTTTACCTAGGTCCTCCAGTAGAGAGGTTAGAATAAGGGTACCCTTTTTTGTGTAGTCTATTTTAGTAGGGGAACCCTCCCCCAAAAAAGAGTAAAAGGGCACTACTGGGGGACCTAGCTACGCATGCTTCTCATGGCTTGCAGCGGCTTGTTTGCTTGAACAACTCTTGCTTTCAAACCAATTAAGTAATCTCATCAACATCCACGTGACAGCTGTCTTGCCTTTTGGCCATGTCACCAACGAATAGCTTCAACGCCTCCAAGCTTGACGTTGTGGGGCAAATGCTCTTGTCAACAAAGACCCTGTTGCCTGCCCCGTGACCGAGCGGTAGTAGAACGAACACCCTGTTTGGGATTGAGCAACCAAGGGTCAGTGGATCTCCCCTTCAAAAGCTGCAATTTATTGGTTTCCGAAACGATCGCCACTTTTCAAGGTTCCCGAAACGGACATTGAGGACACCTTGACAATTTTTGAGTGGCGAACCCAAAGAACAAGCTCATGCTGGTGCCACTGAACAGCGCAAACCCCGTGGCGAGACTCCACGTGGTCATCATTCTTGTCAACTGGTTTTGCTTCTGATGGACAAAATCCTGCACAAAATGGTAAGCGGTTTATCTCAATATTCAGAGGGTTTCATCCATCGCAGCTGGTGCAGGACTTCGTCCATCCACAGTACTCTTTGTTCAGCAGTACCATTACCACTATGTCTGTTCTGATTATTACCATTAACACTATTACTATTACCATTATCATTATGACCATATTACCATTATCATTATGACCACCGCCACCACCACCACCACCATCACCACCACCACGACCACCACCACCACCACCTCGTCATTTCCAAGTTAGATGAGGCTGAAATTCCCTAAACCACCCCAAATGTGGCTTCCAATGTGTGACCCCATTTTTTTTGGGGGGGGGGCTGGCAACCTGAATCCAGGGCGCTCTTCCAGCTCCCCCTTCCTCAGCAAGGCCTCCGCCGCCTGCACGCGCTGCCCCAAGTTCCGCCAGCTCTCCGGCATCGTCATCTGGGTGGCCACGTCCGCGTTCACCCGACCTGGCGCCACACGCCAGGGGGTTGCGGTGCCCGTTTGCGCCATTTGGGCGTGTTGTCGGCTGCTTTTCAAGGGAAACCAAAAGGACAAACCCCATTTGGTGAATCACCATGTGTCAAAATTGGGATTTGCGATCCCAAAATCGGTGGTTTCTCTATTGGTTTCCCTTTCAACTTTCAACCAACCTTAGAAAGGGCACCCTTAAAAAGCACGCAAACACACCCGCATCCTGTGGACCCTCCAATTTTGGGGCCCCACTCGAACGGATCGAACGGTACAAGTTGGGCATCCTAAACGGGCCAAAACGGTGCTTAAAACCGCAAAAGGGGATATAGCCATTTTACTGGCCCCATTTTTGCCAAAGTCACCGGATCCGTTTTGGATTTGTGCTTGCCTTTGCGCTTCAGAGGGGTTCAAATCCTACCACCCTTCCAAAACGCCAATTCCCAGCACCCCCCAATGGCTGGCCAATTGCCGGCACATCGATTTTGGACAAAACGATGTCACTTTATGTCTAAGTGACTGCAAAACCAATTTGCTAGCAAGTATCACTCATCTGCACTTAGTGCAATTTGTGCAATGATACAGGTGACCTTCCAGGGTCCTTTGGAAGGGGGTTGCAGGGGAAAGGGGAGAGCGGCAAATTCAAGGTTTGGAGGGCAAGTTGAGGTTGGGAGGGGTTCTTGAGGAGCGTGTCACGGCGTGTCACGGCGTGTCACGGCGTGTCGGGGGGTGGCCAATTGCCGGCACATGTACGTTGAACGGTCACTTTTTTGGGATGTGAGCGTGTCACTAGCGTGACGCCCCCCCCTCTCGCCCCCGCGCGTTGCATGTGCAATGATCATACATGTCAGCCCAACCCCTCAACCGGATCCCCTCTGGTATCCTGAAGTGACGTTTCAACAAAAGTGACTTTGCACTGCACTTTGATGATGGAAAAAAACAACTATGTGACTACAAAACCATTTTTAAGCAAGTGCTGGTCAATTGCCGGCACTTCACCCAGGACGCCAATTACCGGCCATCGGGGGGGCCTGATCAGGAACAGTCTATTGTCTTCCCCCCCGTATTGTCTTCCCCCCCGAGCAACAGATCGATCATCCTTTGCAGGTTTGATGAAACCCCCGTTGTGGCCAAAACGGTTTCCATTTTGAGATTTGGGTGGCAAGCTAAAGTTTAGTTGTTGTTTGCCAGTCGCCTCAGGAAGTGAGTTTGGGTTGGCAACCCAAAGAATGCCGATGGGGAGAGCTAGATTTTGAGAAACCAGATGGGTGTGTCTTCAAATAGGCTGTTCTGTCGTGGTTTCTCTTTGAAGCCCTTCCAAAAGGGCACAAAAAAACAAACTTAATGAATCGCAAGCAAAACACCCGACGGGCCAGCGAATCGGACAGAATACCCGCGGCCTTCGTCATCCCAAAGGCAGAAGGGATACGGCTTCGGAAGCGCCTCGCGCTGCACGCCTTTGTCATCCGGGAACTCCAAAGCTGCCTACGGCGTCTCCGTCACATCCAAAAAGCGGGTCTGAAAATGGATGGAGGGGTGGAGAAATTGGATCTGATTTTGCTACAATGGCCACCTCATCCACATCATGGATCTGCTTTTGATTCTATTCCAACTTGGCCAGAAATAGATGCCCTGCAAACAAATATGTTTAAAGGGAAAAGGAGGGAAACATAAATGATTACTGTCGTTGTTTTCCAAGTTGGGCGCATAAAGCGAGCCTCGGATTCATCGGCGCTTCTGAAACAATCTTTTCAAAATACGGAATCTCCATTCCCGGAGACTGGTTTGCAATTGATTGAAATGGATGGGGCCCACAATGGATATGCGTCAACATAGTGGAGCAAACATGTGGTGGGTTTTTGTTCGGTTTCCCGCTAACACAAAACTCCAAAGAGAGTGTAATTGCACTGGAAAAAAACCCACGCACCCGAAGTCGGCACCTCTTGGCCCAAATGGATGCAGCAACAAAAGAATCATATCATATGTTTTTCATATTCAGTCAGCCCCAAAATATGGCATCTTTTGGGTGGAGACTGCGTTTTCAGGTTGGTTTACAGGAACAAAACACCACCCAAATCCATTTGGGTCCCGGCATGTCGTCCAAATCCCCGGACGAGTACCTAAATGGGGACTCACCACCATTGTAGTTATTGTCCTTCCTTCCCTTCAAAGCAGCCCCCAAATCTCCCGGTATACCCTGAAACTAAAACACACACACACACACACACACCCTGACTGGGGCAACAGGTGTTCCCCGCTGCCTGGGCCTTCAACCCCCCCCCCCCCGGATCGATCCATCGCCTTGTGGGACTCCAGGTGGGGCCCCAGGCGCTTGAGGCAACGCAGCACCGAGCTTCCGGCGGATCCGACGGACGCGGCGTCGCAGAGCCACGCGGGGAGCGCCTCCCGGGGTGAGAGGCCCGTCCTGCGAGGCGGGAGTTCGGGCCAAAGGTTCGGAGGCCTTGGTAGAGTCTCCATGACCCCTAGGGATCAAAAACCCCTTGACTTTGAGTACCGACTTTCATTTTTCAAGGGTGGAGAGCCCAGGTAGGCCTCAAGGCCTCGGCCAGGGAGAACCTCCCAGAAGAGGCTCTGTTTGAAAAGAACGGGGCTCCCCATGTTTCCCTTTAAAACTATCCCATGAAGGGGTTGAACAGGTTGATAAGAATGACCATTCGCTTTCGCCGGACCGACCTTGTGCCCACACATCAGCCAGGCCCTTCACCGGGCGAAACGGTGAAACGTGGAACTTGAAAGAGGGTTGAGGAGCTTCCAAAACTCTCTGATCGAGTGGATTGGCCAAACAAGGAACCGAACTGCTTCTTTCCCAAATTGGTCTTCGCAAAACAGGCCAGGAATCCAGGGAGTGAGGAAAACAATCCTGGGATCCTAGAAATGGCTTTGCCAGGTTCCCCCCCTGGCCTTTTTTGTTTGGATCCCTGGGAACCCGAGAAGCCACGTAGACAGAGTAAAACCAAGGGTAGGGGAGAAACCCCGAATGGCCCCAACATCCAATATCCATGAAAACAACCTACCCTTCAGCATCCGGAAAAAGGCTTGTGTTTTTTCCTTGGTGCCCCTTGGAAATCTTTTGGGATGTATGTCCAGTTTTGAGGTCCCCTATCCAATGGCAAACACGGCACGGCGCCCAGGCAGTTCCGCGTTGATTTGATTTCAAGTCCGCCCAGATCCCGTCCTCCGAAGCCCATCCGGAAGAATCACAATGTCCTGGCGGATTTCAATCCGGATGCCTTGGGTCCCGATATGTCCATGTCCAACCGAACAGCACGCAAAAAAAACCGGGTGCCAGTCAAAGAATCCAAACACCTCTGCGATTTGGATCCAGTTCCGGCAAATGTTTTGGCGTTGCTTTGACTGGCCCCTGGTATTCTGAAGGGGCCCCGTGAGGCCCGGATCCGGGGCGTGCAAGTGGACCGCAATTTCCTTTTGGCTTCCTCCAACCGCTGCCGACCACTAAAGCATGGCAGCCAAAGTTGGCGCATGGTTTAATCTCAAGGGTACCGTCCAACAAGACAGCCTACTTGGAGGGTGTGGCGGTTTCAGTTGCCAGCCACTGGCCACTACTCAAACATGGGCCTGACCAACCAAGAAAGGGTGGTCTTGTGGAATCCCGAAATAGCCTCCCACAAAACTGCATGCAAGATCATGCAAGTGCAAAGGCTCCCCATTTGTGAGGGCCAGCTCGCTTCCATGTTTGTTGGCGAGTGGGCAGGCACGAATTACAACTTGGCCATGCAGGTCCGTCCTCGTCAAGGATCTCTGCTTATTCTGTTGAGCTCATTGATCAAGAACAAACGTGATCAATAAACAAACTCTTTGCGGGCCTTGACAGCAAGGAGTAAACTTACCAACAAAAGTGTTCAACAAATTGCCAACCAGTTTCTGACTTGAATAGACGACCTGCAATGTGGGCAAACCAAATTGTGTTACTTCAAAGGAAAAACACCAAGCATTTGGGTCCTGCTCCACTGAGACCATCTATGACCCCCGTCAATTGAACCAAAATCATGACCCCAGCTTCTTGGCTGCAAAAAAGCATGCTGGATTCCCCTGAATGCTTAGACCGACCATACCGAGCGTCCAAATTTGACCCACTCATTCCGTCCTCCAAGTGGTCCTCAAGCAGCAGGGCCTCTGCGAACTCTTGGGGGCTCTCCACGTAGCGCGGGGCCGTACGGTCACACAGGAGATCCTGCGACCAGCAGCCGTTGCTCATGCCCGAAGGTCGTGATCGACCTGTTGTAGTTTCATGGAAAAGGACATGAATCGACGGGCGATCCAGTCACGCCAAAGACCGAATCGCCGTGAAACTAAGGTCTCACAATGAAGTCTCAAAATGAGGAGGGCCTTTGGGGAAAGGGGTTATCTCAAAATAAGACTCAACATGAGACTCAAAATGATTGGTCCGACAAGAACTAAAAGGAACTTCCAAAAGATGCCAATGAATCCGCTGGACTGTTTACTAACATAGGACTCCCAGAAAGTGACTTAACTCGCTTTCTGCGAAAGTGTTGGAAAAAGGGGACACTGAAAAGAACGCTGTTGAGACACTTAACAAACAATGAACAACTTGTGAGTTGTTAAGCACCCATATTCACTTGGGTCATTACAGGTCTCACCAAATATTACACCATTCAGGGGGCCCATCCTCTCAGCCATGAAACTGCAATCTTCGGATCAAAAACAGAAAAGCACCTAGTAAATGGAATAAGATGAATCTAAACCAGTGTCATCTAATTCTAGCATTTCCGACTTAAGCAAGGATTCCCAAATACCCTCAAGAGGAATCCATTCAAGACGAACAAAGAACACCCTTGAACATATAACCTGGACGCCCACCCCCCCCCCCCCCCCAAAAAAAAAAAAAAAAACAAAAGAAAACAACAACGAGAAAAACCAAAAAAAACAACTCAACCAAAGGAGCCTCCCAACTGGGGGGACCTGCCTGGGTTTTTCCCTTCGCTTCGTGCAGGGATCCAGGGATCCGCTTCGCCTCCGGCCAGCCGGCGGCCTCGATGAGACGCTTCTCATCCGCACTTAAGCGCATGGGCGCTTAGCGCAGAAGGGCCTCCTCTCTGTAGTGTGTGTGTGTGTGTCTCTCTGTGTCTCTCTCTGTGTGTGTGTGTCTCTCTGTGTGTGCGCGTGTTTTTTCTCTTGTTGCCGTTTTGTGTGAAGGTTCCGTAATTGTTGGGTGTGGTGTTGCTTTGTGTTTTGTGAGGGTACTGTCATTGTTGGCTGGTTTTAACGCGACAAAGGAAGGCAACTGTCTACCCTAATTGTTGGGTGGTTTTGCAGGGAAGTAAATAATGGTGCAGTTTTTCTTGGCTCTGGTGTCGGGCTTTGCCCCCATTTTCTGACTTTGATAACCTCCAGAAGCGGTCAAAATCATGACCCAAGCGACATGATGGTCCTTTGGTGCAAGCGATCGGAAGGCTTTTAGCCCCCTGACAAATGACTCGATTTCCTTCCAACATCCGTAGTCCGGAGCAGACATCCGTGCAAAGTTGGCTTCATTGCAGCATCTATGGGAACCCACAGTACAGCTCATGTTAAGAAATTGTGTTCATTTGCCAATAGTCACAATAAACACCTGGTATTAACGCTGGCTACAAATCAAATCATGTAAGCAATTTCGAGGGCGGATATCCGCAGCTGTTTGTGGTTCTCATTGTCCCTTGACCTTCACTTGCCCGGGTTTCAATTGTCCCGTCTTGAGCGCATGGTGCACGATAAATATTCATAGGGGGCTATGGGATCCAAATTCAGCATGAGGCCTTAGGCTTATCCTTGACTCATCCTAGGCTTGTCCGGGTAGCCTTGTCTGGAGGTCCATGAAATACGGTGGCAGTAGCACTGGCACAAACACTGTCTATTCTCTAATCCCCAAAAGCAAGAGACCTTCATCTACGTTACTTTGCTCCCAGCTCCCGATAATCTGCCCAAATGTTAAATCCAGGTATGGAGGCAATCTGTTTGCTGAAGCCGCATGTTGTCCGTGCAAATCAATTGGCATTGATCTCGCCCGGAGGCCTCATAACGTCTGGGCTTGAGGCCGCGTAAGTGGAGAACACGAAAGGGACAGCGCCTTTGGCAGCTGAAATCCCTGTTCGGCGAGAGGTTCAAGGGTTTCCCCATTTAAAATGCATTGCCAAAGGCCTTTGCGGCAAGGCAACAATCCCACTACGAAAGAAGCCTCGCCGTGGAATCGGGCTAAGGCAGCCTCGGTCACTGCAAAAGCGTTATCAGCTGCCGAGGACCGCCAAAGAGAACAAAAAGCATCAGCAAAGAAGCCGGTTCACTGCCGGAGTTCCGGCAACCGTGTGGCGCGCTGCGGAAAGCAGGGTGCACCTGCAGCAAGCCAACAGAGATTCTCCAAATTTCCGAGATCTGCCCAACTTATTTGACGCTTGCGTCGCCTTGGGCTTGCAACAGTCGCCTCTGGCGGCCGCAGCAGGCACAGGCTTCAAGAGTGAAGAAACATGTACATACTGTATGCACGTATTATACATGCATATAAACATCCCCTTGGAACGGACTCAGCCGCCTCAAACCGCCGACTCAGCCGGCTCGCTCAGTTGCGGTTGCTCCATCTGCTTCGGCTCCTCAACCTGCTCCTCGACCTGCGCCCGTCGGAGCTCGCGCTCCTCTTGGCTCACCACCTTGTAGCAGCCCACGCGCCACCACCAGACCTGAGACAAACTAATCCGACCCTTGCAGAGTGCAACATGACTTCTAGTTGAGAGGACAAAAAATAACCAAGAACAAACCAGAAAGCAAACAAGGCGAGCTAAGTCTGTCAATGAGACCGCCAAGCCCGCAACCACGCCCAGAGCCAAGATTGTCACCACGATGCCCCCTGCGACGCTGGCCTGGTAGAGCAGGGAGATGGCCAATGTCACTCCTGGCACGACCAAAAACATCACCAAGATGTAAATCAGCGGCACGAAGCGCCAGTAGGAGGCATAGAACCCCAAGGTGCAGGCGGCGTGGATGATCACCCTCCTCATTGGGGGCGCAGGGAACCAAATGAGGATGCCGATAATGTTGAAGAGCAGATGGCAAAGCGCGATCTGGATGCTGTCCGCCTTCATAACAGCCAGAGCTGCGAACATGGAAGTAAATGTCGTCCCGATATTCGCGCCGAGGGTCCTGGGACAGACGAGTCGACCCCCTACAAAAAGTCAACTCTTTGCTCCCGCATCTTCATGTTCGGTAACATGGCCGGACTATGTCGGACCAAGAACCGGAGCTGGCCGAAAGGGAACATGAAAGAAACATAAAACAAAACAAAAAAGGATAAGCAAAGTTTGGCGATGGGTCATTGGCAACATCTTGGCGACGGGCAGGACTCCAATGCCAACCAAAGGCGTCAGCGCAGAGGTCGTCACAGAACTGGACTGCACGATCAAGGTCAGGGCAACACCCAGCAGCATGGCCAAATAGTCGTTCATCTGGGTACCCTTCCTGGGCGCTGGAATTTTTTAGAGCGGCCAAACGAATTGAGAAAAACTACCCATAGCTCCTTTCGGTTTCCTGGAAAATTGCCAAATCTTACGCTGTTTAGCACCCAGCTTCATGATCACCCTCTTTGCCTGGCCCATAACCAGGCTGTGCAGCAGCCTCACCATAACGTACAGCGCCACGCACATCACGATCAAAGCAATTGTCAGCCCAAGGATACCGCCCGCCACGTCACCGACATCCTTCAGGAAGCCCTTGCCAATGAGACGCGCACCTTCGATCTCAGTCGTGTAGTAGTTGCCGGCATCAAGGTAGCAAGCGTCAGAACCGCAATCGTTCGCGAAGGCCCCACAGGCCTGCAAAGCCTCATAGCCCTCCTCCGCCACCTTCTTCCAAGCTTTGCTCATACCCTCGGACACACAGTAGTAAGTGCCGCAGTCTGCGGAACCGCAGAAACTCGCCGGGATGGCATGCTCCAATGGCGCACCGAAGGAAAGAGCCTTCACGACGTTCTTGTCCTTGCTGAGGACAGCCTTGGTCAGGGGACTCACAATCGCCTTGGTGGGAGAGGGAAAGGTCAGGTCGGAGGCGTCGTTGCCCAGGATGGCGTCCGTCAAGCCCTTGGAAATCCAATAGAGGAGTCCGCCTTCGCCCGAAATCGCCGCGATGATGATCTCGATGGGCAGCAAGGTCAGGACACTCAGCATGTTGAACCTCAGTGCGTTGACCCCTTGCTGAAAGTTGAACTAACTTTAAGTGAGGGCGTGTCATAAATAGAACTCTAAGCAACTCTCAAGAATGAGAGACAGCACAATTATGTCATGAATCCATCTTCCATCTCAAGCAAATCAAACGTTTAAACTCTAAGGAGATCTCAGTGATATGTCATACGAATTATGGACATCATGTCTAATCGGCAAGGCACATGTCATGGACCGTGGCACCGGAGAACGCGCGCTCAAGCTCAAGCCGGTCGCCCACGTGGGCCATGGAGACGATGGTGTTGGTGACCGACGTGCCTAGGGTTGCTCTTGTTCGACCCAATGGATCGGCACATGGTCGACGGGTTTTCGCTTTTGGAAAAGGAGGCGTTGGTTTGGGGTTCGGAGCAACCATATAACACATGCTTTTGTAGGGGATTCTGCCTGGGACCCCGTGTCCAACAAAAATGGGAATTGCAGGGTAAGCCCGCGTTCGTCACTTATGTGCCCTTGGGGGCCTCTCATTCACAAGTTGGAGCAAAATTGTGTTTTTTGCCTTTGCTTGTGTTGTTTGTTTCCGGGAAAAGGAACCCCGGACAACGATTCCAGCCTCTGTCATTGCCTTCAGGTTCGGAGCAACGCTATGAAAACGGGATGTCCCCATAAAGCAAGCAACCGCCCATGCAACCGCCCGTGCCCGTGCCGGTTCCCAGCCTATGTTGGCGCCCATGATGATGGGGATGGCTCGGCGCACCGTCAGCACCTCCGCTCCCACCAAGCCCACCACGATACTGGTGCTCGTGGAGGAGGATTGCACCAGGACAGTGGCCAGGATGCCCACCATGAGGCCTGCCACCAACCAACCAACCACCCAACCAACCACCCAACCAACCAGCCAGCCAGCCAGCCTCCAGCCAACCAACCAACCAACCAACCGAGCGACCGACCAACCAACTTGGTGTCCCGTAGTTAAGCACAACCAACAACAAAAATGGTGGCCAATATGTTTAAACGTGTAAACATGGGGAGTGACCCACCGCCTGCAATGGGGTTGTCGGTGATGGTGAACAGCTGGCCAGCCCGCTTGCCTCCCAGGGCCCCGAAGGAGCCGCCCATCAGATCAAGGCCAAAGAGAAAGAAGTAGAGGGCAGTCAGCACGCCCAGAATCCTCGGACAAGATCCGACCAGCGCAAAGTTCTGTTCGCTTGGTTGAAAGGCGAAAAATAAGGAAACACAAGAGGACAAAAGGTGAAACAGGTTGGCCAAGTCATGAATCTTCAACGTGGTGTACAGGGCGAACTCTGCACAGCTCTGCGGCACCTTCGACTCCACCTTCGAGTCTGCCGTCATGGCGAGAGTGTCTGTCACGAAATCCCTCGGCTGAGACTGCTGAGCCTCCGATGCTCACGCACAGGTTGTTCAGCAGCAGACTCGCAGGTGCAATCACTCCGAGGTCTGAATCCGGGAAAGAATATCTTTTCCCTAACAACCGCGAACTCCTGATAATCTTACCAAATATTTAATCAAAGCATGGAGGCAACAATCTGTTTGCGGCAACCATATCGATCGAGAGGCCTCACGTCTGGACATGAGACCTCGTAAGCGGAAAACACGAAAGGGACAGCGCCTTTGGCAGCTGAAATCCCTGTTCGGCGAGAGGTTCAAGGGTTTCCCCATTTAAAATGCATTGCCAAAGGCCTTTGCGGCAAGGCAACAATCCCACTACGAAAGAAGCCTCGCCGTGGAATCGGGCTAAGGCAGCCTCGGTCACTGCAAAAGCGTTATCAGCTGCCGAGGACCGCCAAAGAGAACAAAAAGCATCAGCAAAGACGCCGGTTCACTGCCGGAGTTCCGGCAACCGTGTGGCGCGCTGCGAAAAGCAGGGTGCACCTGCAGCAAGCCAACAGAGATTCTCCAAATCTCCGAGATCTGCCCAACTTATTTGACGCTTGCGTCGCCTTGGGCTTGCAACAGTCGCCTCTGGCGGCCGCAGCAGGCACAGGCTTCAAGAGTGAAGAAACATGTACATACTGTATGCACGTATACATGCATATAAACATCCCCTTGGAACGGACTCAGCCGCCTCAAACCGCCGACTCAGCCGGCTCGCTCGGTTGCGGTTGCTCCATCTGCTTCGGCTCCTCAACCTGTTCCTCGACCTGCGCCCGTCGGAGCTCGCGCTCCTCTTGGCTCACCACCTTGTAGCAGCCAACGCGCCACCACCAGACCTGAGACAAACTAATCCGACCCTTGCAGAGTGCAACATGACTCCTAGTTGAGGGCAAAAAAGAACCAAGAACAAACCAGAAAGCAAACAAGGCGAGCTAAGTCTGTCAATGAGACCGCCAAGCCCGCAACCACGCCCAGAGCCAAGATTGTCACCACGATGCCCCCTGCGACGCTGGCCTGGTAGAGCAGGGAGATGGCCAATGTCACTCCTGGCACGGCCAAAAACATCACCAAGATGTAAATCAGCGGCACGAAGCGCCAGTAGGAGGCATAGAACCCCAAGGTGCAGGCGGCGTGGATGATCACCCTCCTCATTGGGGGTGCAGGGAACCAAATGAGGATGCCGATAATGTTGAAGAGCAGATGGCAAAGCGCGATCTGGATGCTGTCCGCCTTCATAACAGCCAGCGCTGCGAACATGGAAGTAAATGTCGTCCCGATATTCGCGCCAAGGGTCCTGGGACAGACGAGTCGACCCCCTACAAAAAGTCAACTCTTTGCTGGCCGAAAGGGAACATGAAAGAAACATAAAACAAAACAAAAAAAGATAAGCAAAGTTTGGCGATGGGTCATTGGCAACATCTTGGCGACGGGCAGGACTCCAATGCCAACCAAAGGCGTCAGCGCAGAGGTCGTCACGGAACTGGACTGCACGATCAAGGTCAGGGCAACACCCAGCAGCATGGCCAAATAGTCGTTCATCTGGGTACCCTTCCTGGGCGCTGGAATTTTTTAGAGCGGCCAAACGAATTGAGCAAAACTATACATTTACTTTTGGCTTCCTGTGGGGGAAAAACAAATCATAGCCTGTTTAGCACCCAGCTTCATGATCACCCTCTTTGCCTGGCCCATAACCAGGCTGTGCAGCAGCCTCACCATGACGTACAGCGCCACGCACATCACGATCAAAGCAATTGTCAGCCCAAGGATACCGCCCGCCACGTCACCGACATCCTTCAGGAAGCCCTTGCCAATGAGACGCGCACCTTCGATCTCAGTCGTGTAGTAGTTGCCGGCATCAAGGTAGCAAGCGTCAGAACCGCAATCGTTCGCGAAGGCCCCACAGGCCTGCAAAGCCTCATAGCCCTCCTCCGCCACCTTCTTCCAAGCTTTGCTCATACCCTCGGACACACAGTAGTAAGTGCCGCAGTCTGCGGAACCGCAGAAACTCGCCGGGATGGCATGCTCCAATGGCGCACCGAAGGAAAGAGCCTTCACGACGTTCTTGTCCTTGCTGAGGACAGCCTTGGTCAGGGGACTCACAATCGCCTTGGTGGGAGAGGGAAAGGTCAGGTCGGAGGCGTCGTTGCCCAGGATGGCGTCCGTCAAGCCCTTGGAAATCCAATAGAGGAGTCCGCCTTCGCCCGAAATGGCCGCGATGATGATCTCGATGGGCAGCAAGGTCAGGACACTCAGCATGTTGAACCTCAGTGCGTTGACCCCTTGCGGAAAATTGAACTTGAAGTGAGGGAGTGTCATAAAGGCAACTCTAAGCAACTCTCAAGAGTGAGAGACAGAACAATTATGTCATGAATCCATCTTCTATCTCGAAACAATTCACACGTCTAAACTCTAAGGAGATGTCAGTGATATGTCATACGAATTATGGACATCGTGTCTAATCGGCAAGGCACATGTCATGGACCGTGGCACCGGAGAACGCGCGCTCAAGCTCAAGCCGGTCGCCCACGTGGGCCATGGAGACGATGGTGTTGGTGACCGACGTGCCTAGGGTTGCTCTCTTTCGACCCAATGGATCGGCACATGGTCGACGGGTTTTCGCTTTTGGAAAAGGAGGCGTTGGTTTGTGGTTCGGAGCAACCATACAACACATGCTGTTGTAGGGGGATTCTGCCTGGGACCCGGTAAGCGCGCGTTCGTCCCTTATGTGCCCTTGAGGCCCTCTCATTCACTCATAAGTTGGAGGAAAATTGTGTTTTTTGACCTTGCTTGTGTTGGTTGTTTCCGGGAAAAGGAACCCCGGACCACGATTCCAGCCTCTGTCATTGCCTTCAGGTTCGGAGCAACGCTATGAAAACGGGATGTCCCCATAAAGCAAGCAACCGCCCATGCAACCGCCCGTGCCCGTGCCGGTTCCCAGCCTATGTTGGCGCCCATGATGATGGGGATGGCTCGGCGCACCGTCAGCACCTCCGCTCCCACCAAGCCCACCACGATACTGGTGCTCGTGGAGGAGGATTGCACCAGGACAGTGGCCAGGATGCCCACCATGAGGCCTGCCACCAACCAACCAACCACCCAACCAACCACCCAACCAACCAGCCAGCCAGCCAGCCTCCAGCCAACCAACCAACCAACCGAGCGACCGACCAACCAACTTGGTGTCCCGTAGTTAAGCACAACCAACAACAAAAATGGTGGCCAATATGTTTTAACGTGTAAACATGGGGAGTGACCCACCGCCTGCAATGGGGTTGTCGGTGATGGTGAACAGCTGGCCAGCCCGCTTGCCTCCCAGGGCCCCGAAGGAGCCGCCCATCAGATCAAGGCCAAAGAGAAAGAAGTAGAGGGCAGTCAGCACGCCCAGAATCCTCGGACAAGATCCGACCAGCGCAAAGTTCTGTTTGCTTGGTTGAAAGGCGAAAAATAAGGAAACGCAAGAGGACAAAAGGTGAAACAGGTTGGCCAAGTCATGAATCTTCAACGTGGTGTACAGGGCGAACTCTGCACAGCTCTGCGGCACCTTCGACTCCACCTTCGAGTCTGCCGTCATGGCGAGAGTGTCTGTCAGGAAATCCCTCGGCTGAGACTGCTGAGCCTCCGATGCTCACGCACAGGTTGTTCAGCAGCAGACTCGCAGGTGCAATCACTCCGAGGTCTGAATCCGGGAAAGAATATATTTTCCCTAACAACCGCGAACTCCTGATAATCTTACCAAATATTTAATCAAAGCATGGAGGCAACAATCTGTTTGCGGCAACCATATCGATCGAGAGGCCTCACGTCTGGACATGAGACCTCGTAAGCGGAAAACACGAAAGGGACAGCGCCTTTGGCAGCTGAAATCCCTGTTCGGCGAGAGGTTCAAGGGTTTCCCCATTTAAAATGCATTGCCAAAGGCCTTTGCGGCAAGGCAACAATCCCACTACGAAAGAAGCCTCGCCGTGGAATCGGGCTAAGGCAGCCTCGGTCACTGCAAAAGCGTTATCAGCTGCCGAGGACCGCCAAAGAGAACAAAAAGCATCAGCAAGACGCCGGTTCCCTGCCGGAGTTCCGGCAACCGTGTGGCGCGCTGCGAAAAGCAGGGTGCACCTGCAGCAAGCCAACAGAGATTCTCCAAATCTCCGAGATCTGCCCAACTTATTTGACGCTTGCGTCGCCTTGGGCTTGCAACAGTCGCCTCTGGCGGCCGCAGCAGGCACAGGCTTCAAGAGTAAAGAAACATGTACATACTGTATGCACGTATACATGCATATAAACATCCCCTTGGAACGGACTCAGCCGCCTCAAACCGCCGCCGACTCAGTCGGCTCGCTCAGTTGCGGTTCCTCCATCTGCTTCGGCTCCTCAACCTGCTCCTCGACCTGCGCCCGTCGGAGCTCGCGCTCCTCTTGGCTCACCACCTTGTAGCAGCCCACGCGCCACCACCAGACCTGAGACAAACTAATCCGACCCTTGCAGAGTGCAACATGACTCCTAGTTGAGGGGACAAAAAATAACCAAGAACAAACCAGAAAGCAAACAAGGTGAGCTAAGTCTGTCAATGAGACCGCCAAGCCCGCAACCACGCCCAGAGCCAAGATTGTCACCACGATGCCCCCTGCGACGCTGGCCTGGTAGAGCAGGGAGATGGCCAATGTCACTCCTGGCACGGCCAAAAACATCACCAAGATGTAAATCAGCGGCACGAAGCGCCAGTAGGAGGCATAGAACCCCAAGGTGCAGGCGGCGTGGATGATCACCCTCCTCGTTGGGGGCGCAGGGAACCAAATGAGGATGCCGATGATGTTGAAGAGCAGATGGCAAAGCGCGATCTGGATGCTGTCCGCCTTCATAACAGCCAGCGCTGCGAACATGGAAGTAAATGTCGTCCCGATATTCGCGCCGAGGGTCCTGGGACAGACGAGTCGACCCCCTACAAAAAGTCAACTCTTTGCTCCCGCATCTTCGTGTTCGGTAACATGGCCGGACTATGTCGGACCAAGAACCGGAGCTGGCCGAAAGGGAACATGAAAGAAACATAAAACAAAACAAAAAAGGATAAGCAAAGTTTGGCGATGGGTCATTGGCAACATCTTGGCGACGGGCAGGACTCCAATGCCAACCAAAGGCGTCAGCGCAGAGGTCGTCACGGAACTGGACTGCACGATCAAGGTCAGGGCAACACCCAGCAGCATGGCCAAATAGTCGTTCATCTGGGTACCCTTCCTGGGCGCTGGATTTTTTTAGAGCGGCCAAACGAATTGAGCAAAACTATACATCTACTTTTGGCTTCCTGTGGGGGAAACACAAATCATAGCCTGTTTAGCACCCAGCTTCATGATCACCCTCTTTGCCTGGCCCATAACCAGGCTGTGCAGCAGCCTCACCATGACGTACAGCGCCACGCACATCACGATCAAAGCAATTGTCAGCCCAAGGATACCACCCGCCACGTCACCGACATCCTTCAGGAAGCCCTTGCCAATGAGACGCGCACCTTCGATCTCAGCCGTGTAGTAGTTGCCGGCATCAAGGTAGCAAGCGTCAGAACCGCAATCGTTCGCGAAGGCCCCACAGGCCTGCAAAGCCTCATAGCCCTCCTCCGCCACCTTCTTCCAAGCTTTGCTCATACCCTCGGACACACAGTAGTAAGTGCCGCAGTCTGCGGAACCGCAGAAACTCGCCGGGATGGCATGCTCCAATGGCGCACCGAAGGAAAGAGCCTTCACGACGTTCTTGTCCTTGCTGAGGACAGCCTTGGTCAGGGGACTCACAATCGCCTTGGTGGGAGAGGGAAAGGTCAGGTCGGAGGCGTCGTTGCCCAGGATGGCGTCCGTCAAGCCCTTGGAAATCCAATAGAGGAGTCCGCCTTCGCCCGAAATGGCCGCGATGATGATCTCGATGGGCAGCAAGGTCAGGACACTCAGCATGTTGAACCTCAGTGCGTTGACCCCTTGCGGAAAATTGAACTTGAAGTGAGGGAGTGTCATAAAGGCAACTCTAAGCAACTCTCAAGAGTGAGAGACAGAACAATTATGTCATGAATCCATCTTCTATCTCGAAACAATTCACACGTCTAAACTCTAAGGAGATGTCAGTGATATGTCATACGAATTATGGACATCGTGTCTAATCGGCAAGGCACATGTCATGGACTGTGGCACCGGAGAACGCGCGCTCAAGCTCAAGCCGGTCGCCCACGTGGGCCATGGAGACGATGGTGTTGGTGACCGACGTGCCTAGGGTTGCTCTCTTTCGACCCAATGGATCGGCACATGGTCGGCGGGTTTTCGCTTTTGGAAAAGGAGGCGTTGGTTTGTGGTTCGGAGCAACCATACAACACATGCTGTTGTAGGGGGATTCTGCCTGGGACCCCGTGTCCAACAAAAATGGGGACTGCAGGGTAAGCGCGCGTTCGTCACTTATGTGCCCTTGGGGCCCTCTCATTCACTCATAAGTTGGAGGAAAATTGTGTTTTTTGACCTTGCTTGTGTTGTTTGTTTCCGGGAAAAGGAACCCCGGACCACGATTCCAGCCTCTGTCATTGCCTTCAGGTTCGGAGCAACGCTATGAAAACGGGATGTCCCCATAAAGCAAGCAACCGCCCATGCAACCGCCCGTGCCCGTGCCGGTTCCCAGCCTATGTTGGCGCCCATGATGATGGGGATGGCTCGGCGCACCGTCAGCACTTCCGCTCCCACCAAGCCCACCACGATACTGGTGCTCGTGGAGGAGGATTGCACCAGGACAGTGGCCAGGATGCCCACCATGAGGCCTGCCACCAACCAACCAACCACCCAACCAACCACCCAACCAACCACCCAACCAACCAGCCAGCCAGCCAGCCAGCCAGCCAGCTAACCAACCAACCAACCGAGCGACCGACCAACCAACTTGGTGTCCCGTAGTTAAGCACAACCAACAACAAAAATGGTGGCCAATATGTTTAAACGTGTAAACATGGGGAGTGACCCACCGCCTGCAATGGGGTTGTCGGTGATGGTGAACAGCTGGCCAGCCCGCTTGCCTCCCAGGGCCCCGAAGGAGCCGCCCATCAGATCAAGGCCAAAAAGAAAGAAGTAGAGGGCAGTCAGCACGCCCAGAATCCTCGGCCAAGATCCGACCAGCGCAAAGTTCTGTTGCTTGGTTGAAAGGCAAAAAGTAAGGAAACGCAAGAGGACAGAAGGTGAAACGGGTTGGCCAAGTCTGGCAATGAATCTTCAACGTGGTGTACAGGGCGAACTCTGCACAACTTTGCGGCACCTTCGACTCCACCTTCGAGTCTGCCGTCATGGCGAGAGTGTCTGTCAGGAAATCCCTCGGCTGAGCCTGCTGAGCCTCAAATGCTCACGAACAGGTTGTCCAACAGCAAACTCGCAGGCGCAACCGGTCTGAATCGTGAGGGGCTATTATCAGTCCGTCTCTCTCTTTCTCTCTTTCTCTCTTTCTCTCTTTCTCTCTTTCTCTCTCTCTCTCTTTCTCTCTTTCTCTCTTTCTCTCTTTCTCTCTTTCTCTCTTTCTCTCTTTCTCTCTTTCTCTCTTTCTCTCTTTCTCTCTCTCCCTCTCTCTCTCTCTCTCTCTCTCTCTCTCTCTCTCTCTCTCTCTCGCTCTCTGTCTATCTCAAACCGACGTTGGCTTGCTAGCGAAGTGAGGTCCAAACAGCCGTATCGGTTGGTATGTCAAAAAACCGTCAACGTAAGGTGCAAGGCAAAATTGGCGTATGTCAAGCTCAATGCTTCCCGCCAAGCTAAACTGGCGCTCAGATGCGCTCCTTACTTAGACCAAAACTTGGCCCCTATCTCTATGGAGGTTAAAACTGGCCAATAGTCATGTAACAAACCACGTCAATGTTCATGTAAGTATTCTTGTAAACAAAACAGGCCTTAAATAAACACGTAAAAGATCATGTACACGCTTCATGTACACGCTGTGTGCCTCAGTGTTGGAAGCTGGAAGCTGCATCATTTGCCATGTAACAGGCCTGAACAGAGATAAAAGGCGCATAATCAGACAAGCCAATGGCAAAAACAAGCGCCCAAGGTGTTGATTGGCTTGTCCTTGTTAAATCCTCAGCAGCTACCATAGAAATGTTAGGAGGCCAAACATCTTAAGTCTTAAACACGTGGTTGGAAAGCCTAAGCATGCGTGAGCAGAAGCAAAAACAATTCCTGAGCCTGCAGTTGCAATCTTCGGAATGGTTCGTTGGTACGCAGCTCCAATGTCTCCGAAAGGTTCAGAACGGTTCAGGGTATGACGCTGCCATCCCTCCTGAACAGTTCAGCACGGTTCAGGGCATGCTGCTTGCAATTCTTGCTGAACGGTTCAGAACGGTTCCTCCGGAACGGCTCAGAACGGTTCAGGGGCACACGTTCCCATGCCTCCGGAACGGTTCAGAACGGCTCAGGGGGGGGGGGGATGCAGTTTGGTTGCCACCGTTCCTCGGAACGGTTCGTGAGCACGCGGCTGGCGGTTCCTAGTCCTAGGTAAAAAGGTCAGGCCGGCATCGGAACATCGAAAGCGACCCGAAATCTCAAGGCGCAAGAAGGCAAAGAGTTGTCTGAAATTTACGCGAAAATTTACGCACACGTTTCCGCAGAACAAGGCTAGCTGAACCGTTCTGAACCATTCAGGGGACACAGCAGAACTTGCGTGCACATGTGACAGCATCGATCACTCCTCTTCCGGCCTTTGCCCAACTGGATTTCTGGGATCGGTTCTTGGATTCCCTGGGTCTCGCGGACTAACGAGGCGAAGCCGCGGCAGAGAAACAAAAAATAGCGCCGACAGTACCACAACGCGGCAAGCGAAGCTGCAAGAAGGCAAGGCTTGAAATCGTCCTTTGCAACTCCTGACTGGTTGGATCAGTGGCCACGCGCAGACAACCGTGTGCGCATGTGTGTTTGTGTGTGTGGGTGGTGTCTGTGTGTCTGTGCGCCAGGTGCATGTTAGGAATTTAGACGTTAATCTTGATGTTCTTCAAGGTTGGCCCCCGCAAGGTCGCCCAACAATAAGCTGGATTGTTGGAAAGAGCCCTCAACTACTCTTAATGTTGTTCACGCTGCTGACATAACCAATGACCGGACATACCGGACGTTCTATGACGAGACGCAGTGTTCCTCGTCCTCGGTTCCTACAGCATCTCCCTTCTCATGACCACTAAACACGCACGTATCTTGGTGGGGGTTCTGGCTGCCGGGTGTTAGCATGGCAACGCAACCCAAGCGCAAGCATGGGCGCACGTGCTTTTGCGCGTGGAGGGCCTTTTGGGCTTTGCCAACGACACACATGTATGTGTCACATGCTCGCGAGCAAAAAACATGTGGCTAGCAGCTACCAGTACGCATGAACATACACGTCAAAGATGTCGCGGCTCTTCCAATGGTTCATGACTCATGATGCTTTGCCTTCCTTCAGGGATATGAGCAGGTGAAATTCGCGAAGGGGAAGATTCTCGTCAATACATATCCCTGTCCATGAGGGACACTAAGTCCAGCTCACGCATGGTCACTCAGGATCGGGCAAGCGAAAATGAATTACCATTATTTACCTCACTATTTACCATATTATTTACGGACTCTTTCTATTAAGGGCCAGGCCAACCAGAAAGCTTGATTTATTTACGTGATTGTTTACGCTTTGATTTTCGGGTATGGCGAAAACGACAGACCCCCCTATTTTAGAGGCTAAGTTTTGGTTTAACTCCTTACAGTATCCATCTGCAGTTGGTGCAGTATTTGACAATCATTTCAATCCCTGAAATGAGGTATCCCCAATCAAACGACCTACAACATGGTGCGCTTGTTCCACCCCTAGGGCAGCCTGCCATAACGTCGGCCAATTCATGAAGCGCGAGTGCCGTGTTTCTGAGCAGCTCCCTGAGCCGAAGAACATCTGGATCTGGCAGAGAAACAGACCAACAAACACTCGATGTGTCAGTATCAATTGGCATGGATGCATTTTGTCTTTTCCGAAACAAGCATCACTGCGCGTGATGCACTAGACGAGCGTTGACAAGCGAAGGGCAGGCATCCTCTTGCTTGAGAGGCCTCAACGGAATCTTGAGGATACTTGAGGCCTCGCAAGTGGAAAACCGCAGGGACAGCGCCTTTGGCAGCTGAAGTCCCATTGGGCGACAGGGGGGCCTGATGGATGACATGCCACTTCGAAGCCAGGAGAACAATCCCACTCCGAAAGACTCGCAAAATCCTACGAAAGACTCCTCGCCGTGGAATCGGGCCCGGGCAGCCCCGGTAGCTGCAACCAAGTATCGTCAGCTGCCGAGGACCGTAAGGGAACAAAGCATACGCAGCAAAGATGCTGGTTCACTGCCGGAAATTCCGGCATCCGTGCGGTGCACTGCTGCAAAAATGACGGTGCATTTGCAGGGAAGAAACAGTTGCACCCTAACTTTGATGCAAGTCGCCTTCCTGAGACGGTCGCCTCTGACGACTCAGGCACGAGCCTCGGACACGGACTCAGCTGCCTCAAACCGCCGACTCAGCCGGCTCGATCGGTTGCGGTTCCTCCATCTGCTTCGGCTCCTCAACCTGCTCCTCGACCTGCGCCCGTCGGAGCTCGCGCTCCTCTTGGCTCACCACCTTGTAGCAGCCCACGCGCCACCACCAGACCTGAGACAAACTAATCCGACCCTTGCAGAGTGCAACATGACTCCTAGTTGAGAGGACCAAAAAGAACCAAGAACAAACCAGAAAACAAAAAGGTGAGCTAAGTCTGTCAATGAGACCGCCAAGCCCGCAACCACGCCCAGAGCCAAGATTGTCAACACGATGCCCCCTGCCACGCTGGCCTGGTAGAGCAGGGAGATGGCCAATGTCACGCCTGGCACGGCCAAAAACATCACCAAGATGTAAATCAGCGGCACGAAGCGCCAGTAGGAGGCATAGAACCCCAAGGTGCAGGCGGCGTTGATGATCACCCTCCTCATTGGGGGCGCAGGGAACCAAATGAGGATGCCGATGATGTTGAAGAGCAGATGGCAAAGCGCGATCTGGATGCTGTCCGCCTTCATAACAGCCAGCGCTGCGAACATGGAAGTAAATGTCGTCCCGATATTCGCGCCGAGGGTCCTGGGACAGACGAGTCGACCCCCCTACAAAAAGCCAACTCTACGCTGGTTGAAAGGGAACATGAAAGACACATAAAAAAAAAGCAAAGTTTGGCGATGGGTCATTGGCAACATCTTGGCGACGGGCAGGACTCCAATGCCAACCAAAGGCGTCAGCGCAGAGGTCGTCACAGAACTGGACTGCACGATCAAGGTCAGGGAAACACCCAGCAGCATGGCCAAATAGTCGTTCATCTGGGTACCCTTCCTGGGCGCTGGAAATTTAGAGCGGCTGAGCAAAGCTAAATCTATTTTTGGCTTCCTGTGCTGAAAGAACAAATCATAGCCTGTTTAGCACCCAGCTTCTTGATCACCCTCTTTGCCTGGCCCATAACCAGGCTGTGCAGCAGCCTCACCATGACGTACAGCGCCACGCACATCACGATCAAAGCAATTGTCAGCCCAAGGATACCGCCCGCCACGTCACCAACATCCTTCAGGAAACCCTTGCCAATGAGACGCGCACCTTCGATCTCAGTCGTGTAGTAGTTGCCGGCATCAAAGTAGCAAGTGTCAGACCCGCATTCGTTCACAAAGGCCCCACAGGCCTGCAAAGCCTCATAGCCCTCCTCCGCCACCTTCTTCCAAGCATTGCTCATACCCTCGGACACGCAGTAGTAAGTGCCGCAGTCTGCGGACCCGCAGAAGCTTTCCGGGATGGCGTGCTCCAATGGCGCACCGAAGGAAAGAGCCTTCACGACGTTCTTGTCCTTGCTGAGGACAGCCTTGGTCAGGGGACTCACGATCGCCTTGGTGGGAGAGGTAAAGGTCAGATCAGACGCGCTGCTGCCCAGGATGGCGTCCGTCAAGCCCTTGGAAATCCAATAGAGGAGTCCGCCTTCGCCGGAAATAGCGGCGATGATGACCTCGATGGGCAGCAAGGTCAGGACACTCAGCATGTTGAACCTCAGAAAGTATAAACTTCAAGTCAGATGTGTCATAAACCCAACTCTAAACAACTCTGATCTAAAGAGCGTCAAACAGGATCATTCTGTCATGAATTCATCTTTCATCTCTAAACAATTCAAGCCAGCTTCTTTCCAGCGACCTCGATTGATTTGTTTGGGTGCCATGATCCATTTTGCAAATAAGGTCTCTTTGTCCCAAATCAAAGAGACCACTTAAGCCATTTAAAGGGCACCTAGACCGTCAGGGTTGCCCTCCCCAGCAGATCCCTCCCAGTCCGGGCAAATCGAGCCGCAGGTGACACGCGAATGACACTGACTCGCGGGGGGGGGACCGACACTACGTAGCGTAAGTGACCTTTTCAAGGGGTAAGTGACCTCGATTCACACCCGCACTGACACTCAAATGACACGCTTTGACAATCCCAAGACGCCATGTTCGGCCCATTCCGGGTCGGCCCCATTCAAATGTGGGAGTTGTCACACTTCGACACGGGTAGCTGTTCGATTTCTACAGCATCCCAACCCCATTAAGCCAAAAACGGCACTTAGCAAACGAATCAAAGGGTCACTTAGGGTACCGACACTGACACTGCCGAAAGTGGCCTTGATTCAAAAACACGTCAAGTGCCCTTCCTGTCAGGTCACTGCAAGTATGCTGGAACGTCTAAAGTCTGAGGAGATGTCAGTGACATGTCATATGAGTCAGGGACGTAAAGCCTATGGCAGCCGTGGCACATGTCATGGACCGTTGCACCGGAGAACGCGCGCTCGAGCTCAAGCCGGTCTCCCACGTGGGCCATGGAGACGATGGTGTTGGTGACCGACGTGCCTATTGCTCTCGTTCGACCCAATGGGTCGGCACATAGTCGAAAGTTGTTCTGGAAAAGGAGACTAACAAAGGACCCCTTTGATCTAATTGTCAACCCTTTTGGTTGGGCCGCAAGTGAACTAGGGGACCAACGATTCCTGGACCCCCCCCCCACGGCAAGGGAAGGACTATGAAGGACTGTCTCCAAGAAAAATGGGGACTGCAGGGTAAGGGCGCGTTCGTCGCATATGTGCCCTTGGGAGCCCTCTCATTCGCTCTCAAGTCAGTGGAGAGTTCCATTTTATTTGTTTGTTTCCGGACAAGGACGCACAGAAGGGACACAAGACCGAGATTCCACAACTTTGGGCTGGTCCTTGCTTTGAGGTTCGGAGAGACGCTGTGCAGGTTTCCATACAATCTGAATACCCGCCCGTGCCCGTGCCGGTTCCCAGCCTATGTTGGCGCCCATGATGATGGGGATGGCTCGGCGCACCGACAGCACCTCCGCTCCCACCAGGCCCACCACGATGCTGGTGCTGGTGGAGGAGGATTGCACCAGGACCGTGGCCAGGATGCCCACCATGAGCCCTGTGGCAGGCGCAGCATGTTGCATCCCATTTAAAGGAAAGCCATCAACACAGTAGTGGCCTATAATATTTCAGCTTTTAAACATGGGGTTGACCCACCGCCTGCAATGGGGTTGTCGGTAATGGTGAACAGCTGGGCCGCCCGCTTGCCTCCCAGGGCCCCGAAAGAGCCGCCCATCAGATCAAGGCCAAAGAGAAAGAAGTAAAGGGCAGTCAGCACGCCCAGAATCCTTGGCCAAGATCCGACCAGCGCAAAGTTCTGTTCGCTTGGTTGAAAGGCGAAAAATAAGGAAACGCAAAAGGACAAAATGTGAAACGGGTTGGCCAAGTCATGAATCTTCAACGTGGTGTACAGGGCGAACTCTGCACAGCTCTGCGGCACCTTCGACTCCACCTTCGAGTCTGCCGTCATGGCCAAAGATTCTGACAGGAAATCCTCCTGTTAAGCCTCAAACTGCTCTGCCCATGACCAATGGCACACAATATGCAAAGAGTCGCAATGCGTGCAAAGAGGTCATGCAACATCGAACTCACAGCAACCACTCGCAGGCTTCAATTCGCAGGCTTCAATCTTTATATAAACGTCCAGCAGATGTGTGGCATGTTGCAACAGGCTTGTGTGTTTTCTCTTTCCAGCCCATCGTTGTTGGTGTCGCATCGCGAAAGGCGTATCAACGCCTCGACCACCTTTAAGCAGCTGACCAAAGGAAACACATTTTTCCGGCAAATGATTATTAGACTTATCTACAATTCACACCGCTTCCAGGGCGAGCGATTCACACCCGGAGCGGTCAAGTCGTGCAGCACCGCTTGAGCTTGTCAGCTCGTGAACTCCATCACGAAGCCCACGGAGAACGCGCACTTGGATGTTCAACCTCGGGTGTTCCCACCTCGTTCTTCAACCCTGAACCCGTTTGGACTTATGGACCTCGTTCTCCAAAGCCGCATGCGTTGGTGATCTCAACCACCTATATCGCAAAACCCTACCTCTTGTTGGGGGGTGTCCCTACCTTGTGCTGAACCGAATTCAGTATGTTACCCCAAACATATCTTCCACCCGGCCTTTGCTGCAGTCTTTTAATTTCAGGCAAAGCGCTCATCTGCAGAACTGCCAGCGCCAACACCTGGCCCAACTCGTCGGCCAGCCCCGGAAGGCTTTGGAGGTCTCCGCTGAATTGCACATGGACACCTGGCGCGTGAATTGGACGCACCCCAACAAATTAACGTTGAAACCAAAACCGGGGTCCCCCAGAAGGAGCTTCCTCTGCAAATGAGAAATCTGTTCAATCTGCAGGGGAGTAACCCCTTTTTAGGTGCAAGCGGACAAGCAACGGAGGTCACCCAGCAGTGACAAGGGTACCCTTAAGGCACACGATGCCAAAGCATGGTTTACAAGAGTTCTATGACGGGAACACCAAGCTTGCCCTAGGGAACTCCCATAAACCTGTTAGTCGCCAATACAGCAAGCAAGCTGGCAGCGAATGAAACACAACCACAGGTTCCATGAAAAGTGGCCTCAGTACTATACCATGATCAAAGTCACCCCCTCAGTGGCGGGCTAAAGGGAAACAACCCCATTTTCTGACTTTGATAACCACCAGAAACCCTCAGAATAGTACCCCTGTGAACATGAAACACTTGTCATTGTTTTTGCAGGTGAGGGAGTGCCTGCCCATTTGAGTTCAAGTGGATGTAAACCAACGAGGCCAAATCACCCATCCAAACCACCACATAGAACTCAGGTGAGCAAAAGAGACCGCTACGTCTGAGCTAAATCCGTTCCAAGTGCCTGTTCTGGTTTATCTGTATCCTCCAAAACCACCAAAGGTTGCTTGCGGTTTCCTGTTGGTTGTCAGCTACACCCATCCACCAATGGTACGGTTCCCGCCAAAAACGGGCTTCTCCCTTCTGATGGTAACCGTTTAGAGTTAATTGTTTCAACGGAATGCCAAGCGGACACCTGCCATGGACCCCCCGCAATTTGGAGATGTGAGTGTGTCTTTTTTCGAGAGTGCCTTTTTTATGGTTTTGAAGGCAAACCAAAAGGAAAACAGGTCCCCAAAAAAGACACATCCGTTAAGCCGATAGAAACCAATGTGCACTTGGCAACGTCGACCCTAAGTGAATCAACCCCGCGGATTGATAACGAGATGTTTTATCACCTAACCTACCCAAGAGGAATGAGCCTGGGGTTCCTTCTACATTCCCTTCAACGACTAAGGGGCACTCAATCAAGACTTTTCCTCGGCCCAAGAGTATAGCAAAAACAATACTTTCAGATTCGGGCAACCATATGACATAAACTAATTTTGGAGACCACTGCAGCCCAGTTTCATACCTCCCTGGCTGACTATGTGGAGCGTCAAATTTTTTTATTGCGCGGAAGCGTCACCTTTCTGGAGAACACCCCTCTCCCAAATGGCCATGGGTCAAAATCCCGTACCCCCGGTGAACATCCTAATCCCCACTAAAATAGACTAAAATGGGTGGTGCCCCTACCCCGAAATGGTACCATTGGACCATTGGTTTTGACCCACAGCCAACTAAGTCCAGGGTGATTCATCCAGAGTTTGCCGTCCGCCATGAACGCTCGCCGAAATTTCAGCCTTCCAAGGCAGATCTCGAAGCCCTGGACGCGGGAAACTGCGAAGGATTCGCCCAGACCAAACCACTGACTCTGACGAAGGTCCCCCGAAAAGAGACGTCTCTGTTGTATTACCCCCTCCCCCAACCCACCCCTCCACATAGAAAAGGAAGCAAACACATCTGGTAGGTCTTGTGTGCCGCCAAGCAAGAACGAGGGCTTCGGGCTCCTGAAATGACCCGAACAGTAGAAAACACTGGCTTTTCAGGCATGGTTCCCCAACAGCTGAAAGAGTTGGGGTCTCAGCCCACATAGGCTCCGGGGTGGTCCGGGGCGGCCCTGAGGTGGGGTTCCACGAGGGTTCCACCGGGGTTCCACCAGGGTTCCACGAGGGTTCCACGAGGTTCTGCGAGGGCTGCGGGGTAGTGCGAGCACTAAAAAGAGCACCGCATGCTGTTGGGGATATGACCTGAGCTAATTCCATTTTCAGTGGGGAACTCACCAGACAGGAAGGGATTTAGAGGGTGCCACTTAATAACTGTCAGGGATGGCAACGGTCTGCTGTTGATCCTTTGCGAGATTGGCGCCTGAGTAGGCTACAGCACGAGGATGTCAGCACCCTTGAAAATCAGCCAAACCACTAGACGCCCAGGTACAACGCCAGCAGGTATCCCACTGATGCGCCTGAGTGGGCTACAGCGCGAGGATGTCAGCAATGTTCGGCTGCAAGGTCACTGTTGACCTCCAGCGGCTTGTCTGGGCATGCACACACTAAGCCGTGCCCTTTTGGTTGATCCATTCTTTGGCAACAGTCAGCGCCACGATAAAACAAGGTCCAACATTTCAAACGATCTGTATTCTTGCCAACTCCCGACGCGTAGGAGATATCGCGGACTTCACTCGAGTTCTGCAACTGTAACGCGGGCCCCAACACAGAGAATCATTCCCATACGAGTGTTTGGAAGGGGATGCGTGTCACAACTTCGGACCATCCTAGATGACTTGACTCTTGAGACTTCTTTTGAAAGCCTTGCTCAAGCATGACCTTTCTTTTTTGTAATGCGTACGCATGGTTCGTGGCTATACTTTGAGAACATCATAATCTTGCCTGTTCTCGGTGGGGGATAGTTGCTTGTGGGATTGCACCTCTAGCAAGTATGATTGGAAGCTCAGTCTCGCAGAACCAGCAAGTGCCAAGCAGTGCTCTGCGCAGTTGTCTCAGTGTGCTTCTTTGGTTGCCCATGTTGGGTGCGGGCAACCAAGAAACAGTTTTGCTCAATAGGTTGGAAGGATCCCTCGCTCGAACCGCACCAGAATAACCCCACGGCAGAGGCGGGGGCAGGGCATCTTGCCAGACAAAGTCTACAACTCAATCGGGTTCCCCACGTCTGCCATGTAAGCATCACGCAAAAGGAAGCTTACTTTAGACTGGCCCAAAAGCGGATGTTCAAAGCTAACGAGGGAGGAATATAGGGGAGCTTGGCGCTTGGAAACAACAATGGAGCAGAAGAGCAATGGCCAGAGCAGTTGCGTCCAGGAAGAACGACAATACAGCCACAGCGCGGCATGACTGCATGAGAATAAATCAAAACCGACCAGAGAACACTTTGGCTCAAAGCCCCAGGTCTCCACAGTTTGGTTGGGCCCCATGGCTTGGTTCTGAGAACAACCAGCCTGAAGGCTTGGGCAACCACATGAGGTTCATTCAGCATTGGACGGGGCCGTCATTGAATTTTGGCTGCCTCAGAAAACAAACCGGGCATTCAAAGGGAGCCTTCAGCGGGGGTCTGTCTCTAAAGGGCGGAACCGTTTTCGGAACCCCCAAAATAGCTGGCTCTTGCTCGTTTCCCCTTGAAACTTGAGACCACCTCCGAAAGGGTACCCCCAGAAAAAGACAGTCTCGTGGAAGCACTTGCGTTCGAGCGCACAACTCACACAGCACGCGCCTGTGAAGCTCATGAGGGGATACTGGAGCGGATCCTGGTTTCAGCGTTCCACGCACTCCAAATTCTAGTCAGCCACAAAGGGAGCCATGGCTTGTCCGATTCTAATTTCGCCCTTAAAAAAAGGAGAGCCGTGTCGCTTGCGATGGTTCTGAATACAACTATATATACTCCTAGTGGGCAATGACCGTGGCTAGAGGGCGGTTACAATGGCCAGTGGCCCCAGCTGACGCCATGTTTACAACTTACCGTTTCAAGATCCAAGTATGTATGCTTGCAGTTTGGCTCACTTGCCAATTGTACGATTTATGCGCGCCTCGGTCAACATTAATTGCCAAACTCGCATGGGCATTTTGGTAGCTACTTGCCTCACGCCGTCCCTTTTATTGCAAATTCCTGTACGCGCCATGAGCTCCTTTTGCGGTCGAGAACCATCCCTGCCAACCCCAAATAAGGGGTTGTTGACCATTGCGCATATTATGGAGCCGTACACATACCTTGGAAGCATGAGGAGCTTGATTAGATTTCTGCTACTCCGTAGAATTGAATATTCTGTTGGGCCTAACTTGAGCTGCTTGGAAGGCCTGGATTCACGACTGTTTGGCTGAGCACAGGCAAGCAAGCGCGCTGTCTCTTGTTCCAACAGTGTCGCTTGGGGATACTGGATGTTCATAACGCAGTTCCTCGATGGCGGGAGAACCTCTGAGTTCTAACACTTCTGAGCAAGAAATTCATGCTTGCAGCTTTGCAGATTCAGCGGAACATCCAGTAGTGTCCAAAAGAACTCCTTCACAAACCAGCAGGGCTTCTCAAAACCAACCCAAAATCGAGCTTATTCATTTTCTGTTTTGCTGACACAGATCCAAAACGGGTACCCTCAACAAAAAGGAACCGCACCCACCCGTAGATGGTGTACGTCACCTGCCTCACTGGCTTGGTGCGGGCTTCGCCTGTGACAGATCGGGGGTGCGGGACTGTTCCTTGCCCTCCCTCCACACTAACATGCTGTGTATGGTTGCAAAATCCGTTTCACACCACCTCATGAAAAACCATTGTTTCATGGTATTTACAGGAGAATCATCATTCCGGGGTTTCTTAGGTGGTGGCAGGATTTCGTCCATCCACCGTAGCACCTGTGCGAGGGTAATGGCAACCCAGTCAATGAACAGACGCTGATTCATTCATATGGGGTGTCCCATTTTGAGGGTATCCAAATTTTGACTTTGCTTTTAAAGGGACTCCTATTAGATTTGAGCTTAGGGAGGTCACCACTGCCGATAGTCGAAAAGGACTGGCAACTGATGGGTTGATGAGCTAGAACGCCACCAACGAGAGTGGAACGCACTGGGGAACTGGCCACAATAGTATTCAAGGGGGGCTGAAAGGACAAGGTTCCGCTGGTCGTGGCTTTTGCAATAGCCCAAATCATGTTGAACATCCCAGCAGAATCAAGCAACATAAAGCCTCATAAAACGGGACAACCAATTTAATTTGTCCAACCAGAAGTGTGTCATTGCATTGAGATTTCCTCTGTAAATACCATTCAAACACCCTGGAAAGAGTTGATTCCCCAACGTAAATACCAACAAACTTTCTGGCTTCCCATGGTTTCATTTCGTGCGACCTCCGATTTCGCAACCATCCGTTTTACTGGATCCTTGAGCCCAGCTTTCTGGGACCGAAGGTAGTGACTTGCAGTCCACCAGTCCACCAGACTTGACTCCCGTCCACTAGGTCTCTTGGTGCTTTGGTTTCAACCAAGGGTGCCGGCTCCAAGCAAAGATTGCCAACAAGCGAGATGGGTGGATAGATGCCTGGACTCGGGCTGAACGCCCTCCCTCCCACAGGTTGCTACAAACATGGGACCGCCACAAGTGCCATGGCCTTTCAGGGTCGGATCCGGTCGACTCGCTTTGGGAAGGCTTCACAATACTGGATGGGCAAAAATCCACGCAGGTGCCTTAGCCCTGGGTTTCATCCATCCAAACTGGCGCACGATTGTGTTCATTCACAGTAGGGGTGCCCTTTGGATGTTCAAGGGATACCAAAAGGAACAAGAAAGCTGCATGTTTTTGTGCCCGACTGCGAGCCCATTTGTGGCTCATCTGGCTCGTTTGGCCCCCAGTGGATATCCATGGGAATGGACGTGCCCGTAGTTGACTGCCAATGGGCCCACCCCTTTATGAAACATGAGCAAACAGCTCCACTGCAGGTCTAAGAGCCTCTTAAGCCCCTCTGCCATAGAAGACGCCTAAAAGCCGCCAAAGCATGCAGGCTTGGGTTGCCATCCTCCACAAAGCGAACGGTTGGGTTGGGACAACCCCTTAAACGCGTGCAAACAACTGTCATGGAAAGAACCCTCCTTTGGTTTCCCCCCCAAAACGACGGCAACGACTTGGTCGTCTTGCCCTAAGTTCGATCAAATGCGAACATCTTTCTAAACTCATGAGGTCAAGTTGACCTTTTCCACTGGCCCCAAGGTATCCTTTGAGACACTCGGGGTACCACCCAGCGAGAACTTGGCCTTGGGTGTTGAGCTCGCGCCGTCCGCCTGGGACTCAAAAATGCGGGGACCGCTGGTTCCCGCCAGTTTACCGGCCGCGTGATTTAGGGACAGGACCCCAGCCGATTTTCAGAAATTCTATCAGCTTCCCCTGATTTGGTGGCTTGGATTGGAGCTTGCTACCTCCCCATGTAGCTTCAAAAGCCGGAGTTTAAATCCTACCAATCCAAATCGCCACTTGAAGTAGTCAAAACTGGGTTGCTGCAAGCCCCTCCGAGTAAAATGTCGATTATATCTTGTCATGTTAATGGAAGGGACGTGACACAACGCAAACACACACACACACACATCACAAAATAACACAACCAACACAAGAGTGCGTGTTTTCTCCCCTCTGGCGAATCTTTTAAAGAACCCAACACAACAAGGTTTTCCTGTTGCCTATATTTAGGCGCCCAAGAGGCGTCCTGGGCCAGCTTCTTGCTACAAGGCAGTATTTGAAGGGCCGGCTTCTTGACATCGACGTGGATGTCACCGAGTCGGATTCCCATGACACCAAAACACCAAAACAACAAAACAGCAACCCTTGACACCAAAAAGAGGAGCCGGTACATAAATTGTCCCAAGCATTCCCATCCAACCACGACTAGCGTGTCGCTGAAAAGGGCGATGCCATTGATAGAGATAACTGTTCTCGAGCAACTCAACCTGGGTGTTGCCCTCAATGGGGGATGCCTGCGTGGCCAGAAACGGGGAGCCCGTCCAGCACGAGGAGGGCAAATGGTCAAGTATTTGAAAGTGGCCCCTGCTTCCAACTAGCTGGCGACAGCATATGAAGTTTGCAACGATCAACTGATGCATCGCGGATTCTTTTTCTGAACGCCGCAGTAAAAATATAAAGCTCCTCTTATGGACGTGGGGCATTGGGTCTTTCTTTGTGGTTTTGGTGGGATTTTGAGAGAACCTCTGAGGAACCTCTCTTGCCCCTTTCAAATTGAATACAAGCAACTGGAAATTCATCAGGGGCTTCGAACAGGCTGAATCCCACTCAATATCTGCAAATCGACAATGGGAACACCAAAAGGTCAAAAGGTCGATTACCTTGCGATGAGCATTCGGACACACAAACACAAGCAGCATAAGGCTGTGAGTTTTACTAGAGGATCAAGCTTAGGAGGCGATTCACGTCCACCAACTTTTGGGTACAGAGCAGAATCTATGCTCAGAAACCCCGCCTGCGAAGCTCCTGCGTCCACCGCAGATGCCGCAGCCTCGCTTAAACAATAACGCTCAGGCTTGCGGAAACTCGGCGAGTCTGTCTGAAGCTGGCAAAAAATTGGGCTCGGAGGGAAACCATGCCAGAAACCGCAGTTGACCCTCATGCTACAATATAGCATCATGATAGCCCACCTGCGCAGACGCTGTAGGGACTGGAGCGGCTGGCACCTGCAATCCGAAACAAAGGGAGCACGATCCAGCACGAACCAAGAGCTTTACATCACAAACCATGTGCACGTCAAGGCATGGCACGTAAATTCATGCGCATGAAAGCACCAAGCTGTTGTGTAACAACACTACGAACATAAACCAACAAAAACAAATCTTCAACTCGCTCCCCGCCTTAGGAGCAGGTGCAGGCGCGGCGGCAGCAGGAACGGATGTTGACCCAGCTTTTGCTGGAGCCTGCCGAGGGGCGCAAACTGGCCCGCATCAAAAGCGACCCACAACGCTGACAGAACAACGCCGGAACCCCCAACAACACGCTGCTCAAACAACTCTCAAGCCATCTGCCTCAAACATCCTGCCTGGGAAGCTACTGCGGCTGCGGTTGCTGTATCTGCAGCCTCCCAGGATGTGAGGACACCATGCAGCGGCGCACTAGCTTGACTGGCTGCTCTGGCCGCATTGATACTTGGGGTGGTTTTTGCGAACCATGAGCGAAAGAACTGCAGCTCATCTTTATGCCGCAGGGTGCCATCATGATTGCCCACCTGCGCAGATGCTGCAGGGACTGGAGCGGCTGGCACCTGCAGTCCGAAAACAACTGGAGTACGATCCAGCACAAACTGAGAGCTTTACGTCACAAACCATGTGCACGTCAAGGCATGGCACGCAAATTCATGCGCATGGAAGCACCAAGCTATTGTGTAACAACACTACGAGCATAAACCAACAAAAACAAATCTTCAACTTGCTCCTCGCCTTAGGAGCAGGTTCAGGTACAGCAGCAGCAGCAGGAACGGATGTTGACCCAGGCTTTGCTGGAGCCTGTGCAGAGGCGCGCGCCCTCGAAACTCATTTCACTGGAACGAAAGACACCAAACAACACAGGGCCGTGAGTTGCGACTGCGTCAAAAACTCTCAAGCCATCTGCCTCAAACATCCTGCCTGGGAAGCTACTGCGGCTGCGGTTGCTGTATCTGCAGCCTCCCAGGATGTGAGGACACCATGCAGCGGCGCACTATCTTGACTGGCTGCTCTGGCCGCATTGATACTTGGGGTGGTTTTTGCGAACCATGAGCGAAAGAACTGCAGCTCATCTTTATGCCGCAGGGTGCCATCATGATTGCCCACCTGCGCAGATGCTGCAGGGACTGGAGCGGCTGGCACCTGCAGCCCGAAACAACGGGGAGTACGATCCAGCACGAACCAAGAGCTTTACATCACAAACCATGTGCACGTCAAGGCATGGCACGTAAATTCATGCGCATGAAAGTACCAAGCTTTTGTGTAACACTACGAGCATAAACCAACAAAAACAAATCTTCAACTCGCTCCTCGCCTCAGGAGCAGGTGCAGGTACAGCAGCAGCAGGAACGGATGTTGACCCAGGCTTTGCTGGAGCCTGTGCCGACGGGCGCGCCCTCGAAACCCATTTCACTGGTCAGCAAAAGAGCAACGCTGGAACCCCAAACAACACACCGCCAGCTGCGACCGCGTCAAAACTCTCAAGCCATCTGCCTCAAACACCCTGTGAGGACATGCGGCGCGCTGGCTTCACTGGCTGCTCCGGCCGCATTGATACTTGGGGGTGGTTTTCTTGCTCGATTTCTTTCTCTGGGCATTGGAGACCCTTGGCGCCAGAAACTGCTGCTCAGTGTGCCATCATGACTTGCTGGTTCTCAGCAAGGAATGAGGGAATGACCCCTGTATGAAGCAACAGGAAACCACCCGTTTTGCAGGTTGGCCGATTCTAATCCACAATCAGTGCCAAACCACAAAGCGAACTTGTCACCTGAGGGCACCCTGTTCAGCTTGGCTTAAAGGGAAACCAAAAGAATACCGAAATCCATGTGGGTCCAAACCGCTATTTTGACACCTTCTACATACCTATTTTGACACATTGCCTGGACTGCGTGGACAAGCAATCCGCCTGCATTGCGGAACCCGCAGCAAGCGCCGCATCGGGCTCTTCGTCTGTCCGCGCCTGTCCGGTTCTTTGATTTTTCTTTGGGGGGGAGAGGGGGGGGCGGCAAAGGGGCGGTGGTGGTGAGGTACGGGGAGAGCCCCTCCAAGGCGCACCTCCCTCCCAGTGACGCCGCTCCCCACTTTTGGACCTAAACAGGTGCCACCATCTCACCAGCCAGGTGCCACCTCCAACCCATATATATATATATATACGCAAGAAAGGCCAAGGCAAAAAGTCTTCTGGGAGGCAAAGCAAGCTGAGCAAGAACTTTGCCAGCCAGCTATGAACACTGCCGGAGGGGCGAAAAGGGTGGGGCTTTTTGAGTGTTTGTTTTGTTTTGTTTGTTTTGCGTTGCTTTAATGTTGTTGGATTCTACATATATGTATATAGATAAATATGTATAATTATAATTGTATACATATCTATATATATATGTATTTTGTTTGAGCGGGAATGAGGCTGCCACTTTTTGTGTTTCAAAAAGCAAAAGGGTCGACCATTTTTGAAGGTCCATTGGGAGCCCTTATCTGAGGCCACCAGAGCTGCAAATCCACCGACTGCGAGAGGGAAACGCCCGGGGAGTCGCACGGAAGTCGGCATCTCCAAAAACATCCTGATGCATCCCCATCCAAAAGCCAAGATAGATTGGCTACAGAAAAAAACAGACAAAGGCCAGGATGGATGGGTTGTGGGCTTCTTGGAAGGATATCTTAGCCAGCGCGCGAAAAGCCGCTCCAATGCTGTGCACCCCACCTCCGTGGCTTCCTGCATGCAACTTACTTCCGAGCGAGCGGATTGCCCAAAAAGAAGTCGATCAACCTTTTTGCTCGCCACGGAAATGGACTTCCCATGGCCATGACTTCCCAAAAAGAAAAAGGATACCCTCCCTCGCAGTACCAAAGCACCTGTGGCCTGGAAGATAGATTTTCTCTTACAGGCATCCCCTGTCAGGTGCCATGTTAGTGGGAGAAAGGGTAACGTCCAGAACAAGGGGAAGTGAGGCAAACCGAGCACTGGTCCACTGGTGAGTCAAGAAAAAAGCCATATTACGCACGTCAACGCCACTGCCCAACAAGCATGATGGATCAAATGGTTTCCGAGCAAGTGGCAATAGACATAACCATCACACGCTGTCCATGACCGAATTCACATTGACAATGTTGCTAGGTTGTGCTCATTATGCTTGTCCCGTTTCCGGTGGCATAGGTCCATATTTGCTGAAGTGATGATACCCCGTCTGACTGAACAAACCGACTGAGAGAGACGTAATCAAGACCTGGTATTAAAAACAGAAAAAGGTGAATATCTGCAAATTTGATTGTTGTGTCTTGTCTTTGTTTAACAGTTTCTTTCTGTTCCCTCCTTTCTTGCTTGCATTGCTCTTTCTCTGCCTTTCTCTACCTATCTCACTCTATCTCCCACTCTCTCTCTCTTTGTCTCGTTCTGTCTTTCCTTTCTTCCTTACTTCCTTCCTTTCCTTTCTGGCTTCCTTTATTTATCTATTTCCTTCCTTCTGTTTGTTATTTCTTTATTTCTTTATTGTCTTCTATTGCTTCTTTGTCTATGTTATGTCTTTCCATTTTTCTTTCTTTCTCTCGCTCT